TTTGAACTTTTAAAGGCAATTATAACATGATGTTGACCCGGGTCAAACCCGGGTCAATTAAATCATGACCCGACCCGTTCGGGTCGACCCGACTCGTTTCGGAGCTCTAATCACCACATTCTTGAAACTGTTGACAGAACATTAAGAGACATTATGGAAAATGATCTTCCATTTTGTGGTAAAATATTTCTGTTTGGGGGAGACTTCTGTCAAGTTCTTCCTGTAGTTTCCAAAGGCACAAGAGCCCAAATTGTCAATGCTGCTCTCAACAAGTCATATCTGTGGTATTATGTTTGTGTTTTCACTTTGACAGCCAACATGAAAGTTGCCCAAGCCACCATACCAGTTCAATTATAATTATCCGAGGTCCTATTTGGATAATGTCTGAATAATTCCGAATGAATACATACATTATCAAATCAGGAGACGTGTAAAACAGTGCTATGTAGAGAGTAGGTTTATTTCATGCAATTTTTTCTGAAGTTGCAACAGATAGAAAGAAGTATTACAATAAAGAAACAAATTTGTTGCAAATTCTTTTACACCATTGATATTTTTATAGCCATTAAAGCTTTCCGTAGCTCCAAACTATAATGTGTATACTATCTTCCATGCAAATTTGGTATCCATGTCTTTGAAAAACGGCAGTGGTTTGAAAACAGTATTAGTATGTTATTTACGTAAATTTCGGGTATACTGCAAATAGTAGTCACATATTGCAAATTTAGAGGACGTATTACCAAATTTGGAATAATTTTCCCTATTGGCCAATCACAGTGTGTCAAACCATTCGTTATCTATTAATTATGGGGATTTTAAGTTTTAAACATGCGATATTAATTATAAGAAGATTTTAAGTTAAACGTCGCAGTGAGTGAGCGACTGCACATGCACGAATTTATTTGTATTTTAATATTAATATTAATATAATAAACAAAACAATAATAATAGAACAAAGATAAGACAAAACGACGGATTGTTTTTCTTCGCAGGAGCAGGAGCAGTAAACGCCAATTAACTAAATATTAATATTAAATAGCTTTTTAAACCTTTTTTTTTTTTTTAATATGATAAATTAATTTTTTTTACCGTCTTATCAAATTTTGCAACCCTTTTTATATTCTTCTAACGCTGCTTTAGAGATCTTTAATTGAGCATAGTCAAAACCGAGAATATGCAAGTTTTTTGAGGAAAGAGCTCGGCTCATTGCAACGTATATTTGTTCTTCAGCAAATATGTTCTCATCAACATTCAACAACACGGTTGAGATTGGCCCAAATGACCAGCAATTTGATTCAATTTTTTGGCTACCACCAGTGTTGTGACCCGAAACAGAAACTAACAGAAACCACCCGAAACTCGTTTAGGTTAGTAGTTTATGTTTATATTTAGGTTTAGGTTTAGTTTTCTGCTTAGTGTAAGTTCATTTTCCGAAACGTTTCGGGAATCCAAAAGAGTTTCTGGTTACAACACTGGCTACCACTAATTACACTATCAGCGGGGGAGACGGTCTTAATGAATCACGTAGATAAAATAATGGATTTCATGTTTTTTTTTAACGAAAGAATGTTATAAATTTGATCAATTAACATCCCTTCATTTTTATTACTCGAATTTAGAAGGCATTTCTTAAAACTAAAACTTAATTCTATTTTAAGAAATTTATTTTTATAAATTAATTCAGTAATTAAAATGTTGAAAAAGTTAACAGTGGCTTTAATTATTAAACATAAATTTATCTATTATTATATAAATCAAAGGGACGAAAGGGGTGTAATTCATATTCTGCTCAAGCTTTTTTTTATTGGTCCAACATCTTTTCTTTCTTTTATTATAAATAGAACCTTCATCCATTTAAAAAAAAATTTGGCAGCGCTTAACTTAACTCAATATTAACATTAACGTAAATGATGATATTGACGTTAACGTTAACTTTAACTTTAACTATATACACAACGCAATCATTATCATAACACTTGAAATTTCCCTTTTTTTCGAAAAATTTTGCTTTTTTTAACAAATTCTTTGAGAAAAATGACCGAAAATCTCCTTTTTAAAGTTAAATACGTCACACTAAATTAAATTCTTTCGTTAAATATAAAAAAAGGTTATAGAAACTCAGTTACTTTGCCGAAACTTAATCACCGTGCCGAAACTATAATTTGTTGCCGAAGCTTCGATTTTTGTTGAAACTAATTTATAATGATTAGACGTTTTCTTTTGAAACAAATTAATTAATGTTGAAATACAAGAAATTTAATTATTATTGTAAAACATTTAATATTATTATTATGTAGAAGGTTGGTTACATTGGTATTAACAAAGGGTAAGATTGATGAGGTGTTTGCTTTGGCAGATTTTGGTGTCATTGGAAAACGTACTAGTTGAATACCATATTCTGGATCATTATCTTCTTAATCTAAGTCTATGATTTCCAAATCTGAAAATCTTCATAAGCCATGTAAACACTCTTATTATTCTCACAAAGCAAACAATGAATAGATTACCCAAAGAACGCATTCGCTTAACTTTATTGATAATATATATAGAAAGATACTTCTCACGCCTTCATTTTCAATTTTGTGATTTGTAGATGATTTTCTCCAAAAATTTTTTTATAACATAAAAAATGATTTTTTTTCAGCAATCTTGATTAAGTTTAAGGACAGGATAATATCTTTATCTTTAAATAAAGAAAGGGATAAAGATTTTTATTATTATTTTTATTATTTGAATATGCACATTTATAAAAGAATTTCCCCGTGATAAAATCAAAATATGATCTATAATCGATGAAATTATTGATTATGTAAATGTTTGCTATATAGATTTAGTTTCGGCATTTTACCTGCATGAAAGCCGAAACTAAATTTTTTAATTTGCCGAACTATTGCCGAAATTTAGTAATTTAGGCAAACTTCTATATAATAGACGGGTTTAATTATTCAAATTATTAAATTGTTAATGTTAATATATAACAAAAAAATTAATTATTACTTTACCAATAATTAATGGCATTGATTTATTGGTAAAGTAATATATTAACATTATATGCTTTATGAATCATTAGTTGCACAAAAGGCTTGCACATTTTTATAATTTCGGCACATAGATTTAGTTTCGCACGTTGATTTAATTTCGGCAAAAATAATTATGCTTAAAATTTCGGCATTTTGGTTGCTTGAAAACCGAAACTAAAATTTTTAATTTGCCGAAACTATTGCCGAAATTTAGCAGTTTAGGCAAACTTCTATAGTGTAACAAATGAACCGATACAGTATTAGTGTTTTTGCATTCATTCATTAAAAAATCGTGTAACCCTTAATGAATATTCATGAATCTCACTAGTATGAATGTAATTTTTTCCTTTAAAATCAGCAATCTTGATAAAAAATTTTACGTGTAACAAATGAATCAATATAATACTGTAGTGTGTGTATGGATGTAATTAGTATCATCGTTTCTCTTTAAATCTGCAATCTTAAAATAATCTTTTTTTATCGAAAAATAAATACATATAATAATAATAATGTCACCACATAAAGACGTTTCAATCGTCACAACAAACACAATAAAACAAAAAAATGAAAAAGATACTACAAATAATTTTCCAAGACTCAATTTGAAATTTAATGAACTTGATGAAATGGTGGATTCTCAAATCGTTTTCGAGTTTGGTGGACCATGGGGAGTTACTGCGATGATGATCGGTTTTCCCATTCTAATGTATTATTTATGGGGATGTCTACAGTTTAATCGCGGGAGATTGGAGTCACCTTTGAATGAAAAGTTATGGACATCGATAATACAAGGCTCAATACCAACTTTTTATGCAGCTAAAATCTATATAACATTTTGCGTTTTTGAATTTTTTTTGGCTTATGTTGTTCCAGGACCTATAGTTAAGGGAGCACCTGTTTCTTCATTGAAAGGAAAACAATTGGATTATCTTTGTAATGGAGTTTGGTCATTTTATGTGACTATATTTACATCATATATACTTCATTATTATGAATTGTTTAAATTGACAGACATTATTGATAATTTTGGACCTTTGATGAGTGTGGCAATAATTTCTGGTTTCTCTATTACATTTATTGTTTATGCTGCTACAATATTTCAAGGCAAGCAATATCGTATGTCAGGATATTTGATGTATGATCTTTTTATGGGAGCTGGTTTAAATCCTAGAATTGGAAAAGTTGACTTGAAAATGTTTGCTGAAATCAGAATTCCTTGGGTATTTATGTTTTTTCTTCTTTATCTAAAAATAAAGAATAATTATTTCATTATTGTTATTCATTTATTGATTTATTTATAAATAAATAAATAATAATACATAGGTAATTTTATTTTATATTTCGGTATCTGCTGCTATTAAAGAATATGAAATGTTTGGTTATGTCTCATCATCTATGGCATTTATGGTATTTGCACACTTCCTGTATGTGAATGCATGTATGAAAGGTGAAGAATGTATTCCTACAACTTGGGATATGACTTATGAAAAGGTAATCAATCAACCAATTCATCAATTGATGACATAAATGAATTAATAAATTAATTAATTAATTTAAAAATGTTTTATTAGTTTGGATTTATGCTTATTTTTTGGAATTTTGCTGGAGGTATGAAAATCAAATTTTCAGCAAAAAAGATTTTTTTTAAAATCCAAATAATTGAAAATCTAACTAGTTATTTTTTTCGTAAATTTTTTTTAGTTCCATTTACATATTGTTATTCTACATTATATCTTCACATTTCAAGTGTTGATAATGGTCGTCCAATCACTCATTCATCATTTTGGACTTATTTTTGCTATGGTTTATTATTATTAGCTTATTATGTGTGGTATTTACTATTACTATTATTATTATTATTATTATCATGGTTATTATTTATTGATTACAATTGTTAAATCAATTCATCATCATGTCATTGTATTAATTTTTTCTTTTAGGGACACTGCAAATTCTCAAAAAAATCGATTTAGAATGATAATCAATGGAACTTACATTCCTCGATACACATTTCCTCAACTTCCATGGGGGACATTGAAAAACCCCGATTATATTAAAACAAAACAAGGAAACCTATTGCTTACAAGCGGATGGTGGGGGATTGCACGTAAAATTCATTATACAGCTGATTTGTTAATGGCTTTTGATTGGGGGTTCATCACTGGATTTAATACGCCTATTCCATTTTTCTATCCAGTTTTCTTTGTTGTTGTATTAACTCATCGTGTTACTAGAGATATGGAAAGATGTTCCAGAAAATATGGAAACGATTGGCAAGAATATTGTAAACGTGTACCATATATTTTTATTCCTGGAATCTATTAGAAATTGCTTATACGCACTCCCTTTTCCCCTTTGTTTATTAAAATTCTTATCAATTGAGTGACTCCTATTAACAATCTCTTTTCAAAATCTGTCTTAATTATCACTTACACACCCAATAACCTTCTACTTCACAAATTCCCCGTCAACCATTCATTCACTCATCTATCATACTTGAGATACATTTCTTTTGTTTTAAATAATCTTTGGGTCAATGAACTTGTAACTATTAAAAAACCGATTCAATAATTACTATACAAAAAATTTTAGGTTAAATGTGTATTTTATATTTGTTGCATGATTTTTTATTAATTCGTAATCCCGTGTGACAACTGCAGAAAATTCTGGGCCAATTTGAAAATTTTTAGTGATGAGAACCTAAAAATTTTAGTTGTGTCGCTATCTATTTTCTATATATAGAGATTGATAACAGGCTATTTATCGTGACAAAGTCATAGTATAAAAAGTATAAATAAATCATTTATACTTTAAAAGATCATCAGGACGAACCCATTCACTCTTAATTCGTTCTCTCAAATCTTTTCTCAAAAATTTTCCAGAATGACTTTTAGGTATCTTATCAATAATGTAGACGCCGCCGCGTAAATTTTTTATGAGGAGCAACTTTTCCAGCTACGTAGTCTTGAATTATTTTTTGGTTTGTTGGGGAAGATTTTGTAGTACGACATAGACTGATGATTCTGTCATGTCTTGTTCTGAATATACCGACTACGGCCGCATCGGAAATGATGGGAGTTCTGTAGGTGCAACTTTACAGCCCTAAAAATTTTTTTTGATAAGTTCTTTCTACGATCAACCAAAAAAATTTTCCCTCTTACAATAATGATGTATGATGAAACTTTTGATTTTAGTCGTTGATGCGACTAAAGTATTGATTAAAGGTAGTTTCTAATCGAAGCCATTTTGACGATTTGAGTAAAGTAAAAGCTTTTGACGTAATTAAAACCACCTGACGTACTTGACGTAAGTAAAAACTCTTGATACATGATACAAGCAGCAATAATGGTAATGATAAAATTAAAAGTTCCAAATTATGTAAAAATGTGTATCCTGTGAATTATTATATCATTGTATGTATATTGCAATGATGCAGAAGAATAATTATCATGGAAAGTTATCATTTGAATTAGCAATTTTATTTAATTAAATTACTTGGCTTTTTTTTTCGTATATTAAAAAGGCCTCTCCTTTTTTACAAATTGAACCATTTTTTTATTATTACATTTCATAAAATGTAAAAAATCCAATTATCTTTACATACATATAAGTTTGTTAAATTGATTAACTACAGAATTACGTGCAATACGTAGTAATACGCAATATTATTAATAATGTGCCTGAGCTGTCTTTAGTGTCTGAGTTTGAGGCAACATAAGTTAATCAATATTGGTACTTAGAACGACCTTATAAGACAGGTTTTGGTACATATTTTTGTAAGTTTTAATTTTGTTTTCTACTGCCAAAGATAAGTTAGAAGAAGCCACCAAGAGCAACAACAAGGAGGAGATAAAAAATGCCCTTAACGAAGCCAGCAAGACGGTAAAAAATAGTTCTGACCCCGATTTGAAAAAAAAGAAAGACCAGGCCGAGGATAAATTAGGCGATGTTGACCCAGAAGAGTTAAGAAAAATTATTAAGACCGAAGTAGAAAATGAATTAAAAAAATTTGGAATAAAAGCGACTGATTTTTTATCGCTTTTAAATTTTCAAAGAATTTATTTTATTGTTGAACCATATAAATCGACCACTATATTTTGGTGACGGTGAAATTGTTTTTTAAATAATTAAATAATGCAATTTTCGTTTTTCAATTTAAATGCAATCAAAAAATGTTGTACGAAAAAAAATTGTTTGTTACACGTCCGCAAAGAAAAAGGAAATAATATAACCGTTATTCTCAAAATCTCCACATTCATTGGTCAAAGTTTTATATTTTATAATTTTATATAATGTCATATAATGATTTGTTATCACAAGAAAGGGAAAAATTTGTATTTAAAATTGAAAATGAAATGCATAATAATGCTACATCAGGAAAACGTGTTTTTTGATACATATATTATATGTACACTCCCCTATAAAAAGTATCGACTCACTTGATGATCCGCGAAAATAATCGGGTAAATGGGTAATACAAATACTCATTTTTTTACTAAGCAAATCGATGTTGTGTATTAGTGAGAAAATGTTTAACGAAATGATTCCTATAACATTCTAAAATACCACATCGGACCGATCGTTATTGATAATTTTATGATGTTTAAAAGTCAAATTAAAATTTTTCGAAAATTTTTCGAAAAAGTTGCACTTAGAGC